TGCATTACATTATTAAGTAAAACTACGGAGATAAGACTTAAAATAATAATAATTATTATTAGATATTATTATGTATACACATAATAAAACCCCAAAATTGTGCTTTAGTGTTCACGACGAAACCTAACTATATACACACATACATATATAGTATTCTACATATGTATATCTAAAGCTTAGAGCATTTATCCAAGTGTAATCGCAAGGCATCACACACTCAGCGCGCGCGTCGATAAAGCAGTGCACGACGTTCTCTTGCTGTTGCGCGCTCTCTTTTGGCAGACGATTCGCTCTTAGGGAGTGCTCAAGCTCTGTCTTATTGGTGATTGGAGCATTTAGAGTCGCATAAGAAAATCCAATGGCCACATCCCACTTTGATTTGCCAAGATTTCATATAAAAATAGAATAAATAGGATGACAAATTTCTCAATAATAAAACTTAGTAAAAAATTTAAAGTTTCTTAGTTAAATATTCAGACAGCTGCGCAGCCTTAATTAATATATTTGTTCATTGTAAATATCAAGTACTTGAAGCAGAAATAAAAAAAAAACCGAATGGAAACGCCTTTGAATTATGCACGCTAAAGCTCATAAAAAATTTGTCTGCCACATTTTTATTTATTACGGTAACTTAACAGAAAAAAAAAAACAAAAAAAAAGCGAAAAAAACTGAAAATGAATATTTAAAAATTCAAATGCAATCCCAGGTCTTCTATATATATTTTTTTAATTTGCTAAAACAAATCTGTGGGGTTGTCAGAGCATTTTCGTAGGCAGATAGTCCTGAAGGCAATGGCAGTGGTATTAAAAATATATTTGTGCTACCTCTTCGCTCATTTAATTGAATTGTGCTCGCAATTCAACGTCAAAAATTTTCCACTTTTTTTAACAAAAACAAAACAAAAATTTCATTGTTTGCATATTTAATAAAGCTAATCAAACACGTCGACTGACTACACCCTGGCCAAGCCACTGTTGGTGCGAGGGGCGTGAGGGTTGTTCTATGATACCTTCTGAATAGGTAGTTCCGGCTCGGCAACGACAACAACAACAACAGCAACAGCGGTCACATAATTTATGACCAAGTACTCAAGGACGTGCACTCATAATAATAAAAAGAAAAAAAGAATCAAACAAAAAAAAAAAATATATATATATATGCATCAGGACTGTGAAAAACACAGCGGGAAACCGCGTGGCAGCCAAACTAATTTGTTGTCATTTTTATGCGACAAAAGTGAAAACAATAATAAATGTAGACAACAACAACAACAGCAGCAGCAAAATCATGACATAAAGAGAGAGATCTTTGCAGCTGCCATGAATCCATTAGAATCTAACGGAAATATTCAGAGAATATTCTTTCAGTTGCTCCAAGCAGAACTAGCTTATTTCATTCATTGAGAATAAAATAATAAAACAATAAAATATAATCGAGAATTAATGTGATGAGAATTTCACAGCGATATAAAAGATCATAGAATAGTTTGCCTGAATTTTATTCAAATAGGTTGATAAGTGTGCGTATTTATAAAATGTATATAATATATACAAAAAATGTATAATGTATATATATAAATAATATAATATTTTTGAAATTTAAAATTCATTGAATATCTACTATATTTATCTTTATTTAATAAATTTTAAAATTATATAGACTTTAAATTTTAAATCGTTAACAATAAATCGTTTAAATAAATCGTTTAGAATAAATAGTCAAAGCTTAAAATGCAATTCTTGAAAATTAAAAACATTTAAATTAATTTTTTAATATAGTTAAATTTACTTTTAATATAATTTAAAAAAAACTTTTCAAGAGATCGCTGCAACAATTTTTTTTTATATTAACTAGAAAAGTATATAATTTATTAAAATTAATCATATCATATTTCACAATTGGTTAACGCCTTTTTGTACAAGTTAATATATATAAAAAAAATGTTAAAAATTATTCAAAAATTAATTATATAATATAATAATAAACATAATAATAATAATAATAATAATAATAAAACATAATAATAATCAGCTCTTCTTAAAGCATTAAAAGTAAATACCCCAATTTAAATTCCAAGTTTAACAATAAACATTATTCTGCAAACAGATCAGTTTGAATAAATATTTGCAGTTTTTTAATATACACTAAAAATACCAAATAGAAGCCAACAAAAATACTAAAGCTAAGGGACAAGTACTCGCATATCTAAACACATTTTAAAACTGTTAACTATTTGTTTGGTAGGCTTGATTGTGGTGTATCATCCCCCTCTCATGTAGAGGTCACATGGAAATGCTTAGCCGATGCTTATCCCAATTAGAGGAAATCAACTGAAAAACTGCAACCGCAGAAACCAAAGTCAACAAATGCGCGCAATTAACGCGACGCACAAATTTTCGAGTGTGCTCGCAGTGGAGGAGCGGGAGTGGGAGGGCAGAGTTATGCGATGCTGGTGCTGGTTTTGGTCAGGGGAGGGAGGGCGGCTGCAGCAGCCCTTGCCGCGCATATGGACGGAAATTGACGATGTGAGCAAGTGGCACGTAATCAATTTGGCAGCGCCTCATTTCAAATGCGAATTTAAGATGCCATTGTTGCAGTCGCCGGCATCGCATCCCCTCGAGCTGCCGCACTGCAGCCGGGGGTGGGCTGTCCAATCGGTCGCATTGTTACAGAATGTTCATAAATATCCGCAACATATGCGCAACAAAACGCAACGAGACTCCAATTGGAAGCCAACTGGAACAAGGATCAAGACATGTCCGTAGCCCGGCCACATGCATAGATGATGCGCCCGACTGTTCCGCTCAATTTTAAAGTTTCCGTGTCTGCAGACCTGGAACATTCATTTCATTTGGAATACTGTTAGCCGGCTGTCTTTTATGTTCCTAATGTCGCATAAACAGTGCTTAATAATGCACCAGCCTTCGCGTATCTCCACTAACCAAATAAACCTACAGCCCGAGTCCACACACTCACACATGCAAGCAAGCATGTGATGGGCGATGGGCGGTGGGAGTGGCACTCAAATTGGGAATTGGGTCTGGGATAAGACTGCCTCGTCGACAATGATTAATATTTAATTCGTGTGCGTTTGGATATTTTTCCACTTTGTATTTTGGGCGAATTTAATGGCTGACAGAAGACAGAAAACGAAATGGAGCAGGGGGAGGAGCAGGAGCAGGAGCAGGGGAGGAGCAGGGGTGCTCGACTGTTGCCAGTTTCCATTTACTTTGCGGATGCCTCACTTTCTGTTAGCCTTTGTTTCGCTGCAAAATTTGACTTGGAACAAATTTGGCTGCGACCTCTGGGAGAGCCGAGTGTTTGCCTTCACCTGTTTACCCTCACATGTGTCTTGCCCGTTTTAGGCTATTGAAATATTCCGTTTGACCTGCAAACCAAACATCCTTTTCATCCTTTCCACATGTTAAAGTTGATGCCAGTTGCATATGAGAATCTGACATTTCTCTCTCTCTCTCTCCCTCTCTCTCTCTCTGTCTCTCTCTCTTACTCTTTGTCTTAATCACTGCTTTCATTATTTTTGCCGACTTGCTGATTCCGTGCAATTGCCGACGATTACAACGGTCGTTGGACGAGCTCTGCACCAGAGTAACAGAAAACACAAAGTAAAAAAACAAAAACGAAAATAAAGAGAAACTCAAACTCCCCCAGAGTGCAATTAGGAAGCGAACTATAAAATTTCAGTGTTTGTCTTGGCAGATACTTTCGCACAGATATCTATGCCCGGTGCCAGCACACATATCGCCGCAACACCCCCGGACCAACGGACCGTCCGCCCCCACCCCCACACCGCCCCCTCCGTTGCTGTTGCTTCAGTGCCGCATTGGGCAATTGGCCCGTACGCATAATTGGCCTTCTGTGACCCCGGCTCGCTATTCTGACACTTTAATGAGCTGTCGACGTTTGCTCCTTTAGCCAGCAGCATCTTGATACGACTTTACGATTATACACGACCCGGTACGACAGCATTTGATCAAATGTGTAAAATGTTTCGCAACCTCAAATGTGTATTCATATAGCTATGCTACAGCACATACAGTTATTTCGAAATATTAGTGGTAACTATATAAATATATGTATGCACAGACGTAGGCTAATGAATAGGAGGATATAAGCCCATAGTTAGTATAGAAAGTGAAGGAAAATTACAGAAACAGCGCAGGATAGTAAAAAAATGAAACAGTGGAAGAGAGTGAGAGAGAGAGAGAGAGAGAGAGAGAGAGAGAGAGATAATATAATGATAATAGAAGAATCTCGAGGAAAAGAGAAATAGAGCTGTAGAAAAGTACAGAGAGATAGATAAAGGAATTGAGATAGTGGGCGTCATTGAAAAAGAAACAAGTGAGAGCTCAAATTAGATGGATAAAGCGAATAGGCGAATAAGAAAACAAGTAAGAAAGCTCTAGTCGAGACTGCTCGACTACGAGATCCCCTGAACCCTACAAGCAACTGATATTTCAA